ACTCCAACTGCACTGTGTCACTGGGCCCAGGCTAAAATAAACCAGCGCTGCTTTTTTAAAAAAAATTTTTTTTTAAATTGGTACCAGGGATGGAACTCACAACTGCCTGCTTGCAAGGCAGGTTGTTACATCACTGAGCTAAATCCCCAGCCCCAGCGCTTTTTTTAAAAAACATGTCTTGTCCATTTTTGAACTCGAGTCTGGGGGCTTTGGTGGGGCTCATTTGTGGATTACAAGAGTTGGTACTGGGGAGACCATCTCTAGGCTGGTTGCAACAGTTGGGTGTTTTATGCATAGTGGCCTGTGGTGTCTGGATGGTGTCAAGCATCTTTTCAATCTTTCACATATACTTTCTCTGCCTGGGATCCTGAGGTGTGGCCTTGGGATGTGGCAAAGCAGCTCAGCATGTTTCCTGCTGACTGTCTGCAGGCAAATGAGCTGGGGAGGCAGCTGGTACTAGGTTGTAAGCCCTTCTATAAGGGTTCCAAATTCTGATTGGTCATGTTGCCAGGAAGTGAGGTCATGCCTTGGGGTCTAATAACTGATAAGAAAGCCTTCTGCTCAACTTTTTCTTCACACTAAGTAAGTCAGTGGCTAGTTATTTTATTATTTCTATCTAAGTATCTGTGAATCTATTTATCTATCATCTGTCTACTAGTTTTTTACGTTTACATTATTGGTGTCTGCACCTTGCATCTGCACAGTGAACTACAGACATATCCTCAGACTTTCTTTTAAACACACACTAAGGGTCTCCCTAAGTCACAAAATTGGTCAGGTTAGACTCCATCTTGTGATCTGCTTGTCTCATTGCCCAAAGTGCTGGGATTATAGTCACATACCATCTGCTTCATTCAGCATGCGATATAGAAACAACAAAATGGAAAAATGGCTGGCACTCTCAGCCATTAGTGATATCTTCACTTTTAAAGCAATTCATGTACATTGATACTTCTCACAGTTCTGGGAGGTCTTTTCCATGTAAAGAAGACCTTTTCTATGAAATATAGTGCTAAGGGTTTGAACCTAGGTAGCTATGAAATTTTAAGATGCTTTTCTTTCATATCATCATTTCTATTTCATTAGGTAGTACCTAGATGTTCTAGAAACTTCCACAATAATTTTCCTTAAGAGATAAAAAAGTTTGTTTCAAAGTATAACATCTGGAGGGTGGGGGTGGTAGTGACTCCATAGCAGGTTGTAGCTTTGAGGTGCACACATGTGACTAAGTATTTGATTTTAGCTGATGAATTTAATACTAAAGTCTAGTATTCAGTATAGTCACATACTGTGTTTCCCCCAAATAATACGTAACTAGGATGACCTAACTGGAACCATGCCCAGCTCATCATCCCCCTGGTGATGACCAGGGTCATACAGAACATTATGCCTCAGTATTCTCTTGCTCCATGGCTACTCTCTAATGGCACATAAAGCAAGGACAGGCTGCTGGGGTAATAAATTATTTCCTGATTAGGTTTTATTTTCTGGGAAATATGGACTGGAGCAAGACAGCACGTGGTGACATGGCAGATAGTCATTGTAATCACCCCAATGGTGATAATGAGCATGTACATACAGCATTTCAAACTTTCCTTATGGCTACTTGGAATCACTTTCTGTCTTCCTATTCCAATCAGCCTGTGTACTGTCTGTCCCAAGTGAGTAGTCTGTATCTTCTAGATGTGAGGAAGCTATAGCCATTCAGGATGTAGTGTTTTTGTTTGTAAAGAGCTTATTCACTCAGTACAACTGCACTGATGGGAGAGAACAGAGCTAGAGCGACCCTTTCCTCTCCCAACATGAGTAGACCATGCAGGAGGAACAGCACCTCCCAACAGGACAGCTGCTCTGCGTGGAATGTTGGTGAACCCCAAAAGGTCACACAAGGGCAGCGAGACCACGAGCTTTAATGTTAATGACACATCCGAGTTGAAAGCATCCACAGATTGTGAGATTTTAACAACAGTGTGTTAGTAAATGTTTAATAAGCAACATATATATGCGTGTATATATATGTATTACATGTACACACGTGTATTACAAATTTTGATGATGTAAAGGACATGTAACACACAACTCAAAAATAATAATAACATAGGGTTACAAAATTGGAACTTTATCTAATTCCAGATCCTCAAGTTTTATAAGTGGCCTCATCCTAGTGAACTCAGCTGAATTTAAAAAAAGCAGATGGTCCAAACAACACAGTCATCGCCTGAACCTGGAGGAAGCCAATCTTTTCTTGTGGCAGAGTAAAACCAGAAACCTGGCCCTTCGAGTACTCCCTACCCACCCTTCAATCCAGAAAAATCCAAGGAAGGAGAGAGTGACCGCCACAAACTTTCTACATTCTGATTATGCTGGTCACTTTCCTTCATGATGATAAGCATGGTAAAATGAGAGGGTTTCTTCTGAATCTCAGTTCTGGAGGTTCTAAACTCTGACTAGTTGGCTCCACTGGTCTAGACTTGTGGTGAGAGGGCACATGATGGTACACACTGGCCTGTGAGGAACTTCCAAGATCCAAATTATACCACTGGCCTTATGGGTTTCCATAGGTTTTCAGTTTGTTTTGTATTGAGTCTCTTCTGCCTTCTCTCAGCTCAGGGTGGGAGGTTATGGAACCCGCTTACAATGCTTAGAGGTGTGAGCAGCTTTATTTTATTCTATAAGTGAGAGAACTGAAGTTGAGAGTAGTTAACACTCTCTGGTTCATCCCATAGATAAGTTGTTGAGCTAGATTTAAACTCGTGTCTGTTAGCTCCATACCCTTTCCATAAATCCATAACTAGGCCTCCTAATCAATGAGGTGGACAAAGCAGTCTATGTGCACAAAGATTTGTTTGCCACTGTTACAGACAGTTTAACTGATTAGAAATATAGGCAGTCAGACAGGGGTGGGCTCTCAACAGTGCAGAAGTTCAGATACCTCGCAGCCTTGAGGAGACAAACACCTTCTGCTGTGGGCCAGATCTCAAGGCAAAAGGCAAAGCAAATACAACCACATCCTAACGATCGATAGTCTAAATAATTCGCTAACACCCTGAGAAGTCAGGAGTCACCATACCAACCCTCTACAGGAAGAATCACTGCTATTAAGCACACCTGTTTTCTACATGACTCACTTCCCTATTTGTCTCCGATTTAATCAATTTTACCTGAACAATTAACCTTGTTGGTTAACCCATCTTACATCCACTTTGAGAGTTCCCAGGTTTTCCTCACCTTGGACCCACTCAACTTGTGGTTTTATTCAGTAAAAATTCCTAGAAAAGATAGTCTCTGGCAATTCACTGGACCCTTTCTGTCCCTCAGATAGAAGCTTTCTTTCTCTCAATAAATATATTTGGCTCTTAACCTCCCCTATATTAATATCATGGAAAGCTCTAAAAGTTTCTCCATTACTGTGCCAGCAGAGCTTCACACGAATGAAATTGCCCCTCAAGCTAGATTACTTTTCCAATGGTATCTGAATTGCCCCTCAAGTTACGAGGATTCAACCTGAGCTCCAAGTCAGGACCGAGATAATGATCCATCAGTACCCAGTCCACTGCCACCCACTAACACTGGCCCCAGTCCTTGTTGGCAGGCCAGTCTGATATCCTTGCACCCTCTCCAGCTACCCCTTTAAAGCTGGAGCCCTTTATCTTCTCTTACCTTTCAGTTAAAGCTTTAGCCTGTAAATTCATATGGTGACTTTAGTTTTAATTTTCACTAAAGCAAGGACCTATGCTAGCCAATGACAAATATTTAAAATGGTGTTATAGTCTACTATTGATAACTTCCCAAAATGTATTCTACAAAACATTGCTCCCACAAACTTCACAAAAAGCAAATGTTCAGGAACTACGGCAAACACTTCTCCCTCACTTATGCATGCTAGAGTCTATAAAATTGAAGGTTCTTGTTTCCTAGTCTTACTTCCAGACATAGTGATGGATGACACAATTCTGGCCAGTGAGGCATGTGCTGACGTCTGTTGATGCTTCTTTTTTGGGTGGGGGGAGAGGGAATTAGCACAAGGAATGCTGAGCTACATTCCATTCCCTTTTTATTTTATTTTATTTTTTTTTTATTTTGAGACAGGGTTTGGATAAATTGAACAGGTTGGCTTTGAACTTGCAATCCTGCCTCAGCCTCCCCAGTAGCTGAGATTACAGGTGTGCACCACCACATCCCATTCTGATTTTTTAAAAACATGATTTAGAGTAAGAACTTCAGTGGGTATTTTGGGATTTGGAAGGAAGGGGTAAGTTGCAGAAACATTAACCTTTTTAAAGGAGAGCATTAAACTTTGCCAGCAACCACTTACCTCCTGAGTTCTTGCTACCTAAGAACAACAAATTCTTTGTTTGGACTTCATAATCAGGTAACATACATCATACAACTGAGCATACTCTGCACTACATATAAAATGCAACATACTCTATGTCCTCACTGGCATATTCAAGGATCTGAGCAAGTCTTAGCAGAAGAAATCTGTTGAGTTTTAATATTTCATTTTCTCAACTTGTTTGATCAAGAAGCTCTTTTCCTTCTACACTACTAATATCTTAAGAACTTTGGTTCCCTACACCTTTGCTTTTCAGAGTGTGATTTCTACATTGGAAACTTCTACATTATCTGGAGACTTGTTAAAAAGCCAGAATCATAGGTCCCAGTCCAGAATCAGAATTTATATTTTAATAAGATCCCCAAGTGACTTGTATGACATTAAATTAAAGGAACACTGCTTTGAGAAACATTGGTTTTTCAAACCTTGTGCTAGAAGATGAAGCACAACTAACCTTAACATCATTGTGTGACTTATGATTTCAAGGACATCTATTATTATTTCTTTTTAGTGCTTATTTCACTGATAACCACAACTAGTTATTTTTGAACGTTTACTTCATGCAGGCCTAATGCTAAATTTTTACTTGCATAATTCTCAGAGCAACACTTACAATAATTTAAAAAGACAGAAACTCACAAATGGTATGACACTCACATTGGACTCTGTTATGCACAATCATTATTTTATTCATTTCTTCACTTACATCTTCAATGAGTCAGTTAATAAACATTTGAGATCCTATCACATGCCAGACACTTCTATGAGGCGCATACTATATTACAGGTGAAACAGGTGAGCCTCAGAGAAGTTAGTATCTTGCCCACGGCGTAAGCTAGAAGGTGACGGAATCCCTGGCTTCAGAACTTAAGAATCATTAAATGACATTACTTATCTAGGCTTTTTGCATTTCCACGTACTTCCTGACTTGTTACTTTACATGTAGCTTGCAATGATCTCCCTAAATATATTTAGTTAAAAGTTCTCAGCTTAAAAAGTTCCAGTGAGCAGCTTCCACTGTCCACTCCCCACAGTCAGGTCAGGCCCATTGTAGTAAGTCCCCCAGGCACATATTCAGCTTCCAACTTATCAGCTTTTAATCATTGACATTTTGGGGATGATGTAATCTTTCTCAAATGCCTGAAATCCTGTGGGTTTGAACAGCCTTTTCTGGGCCTGACATGTAGTTGGCATACAAGTATTCTTTTGTAATATCTTATCTTGGCTCAGGCTTTTACTCTTCTGGATTTACCCATAAGAGTGGTAGAATAAAGGTAAAGCATTTAATTTAACATCAGAAGCCTTGGGACTCATATTTGAGTCCTTGTTCCCCTTCTTGTGAACTCTGTTAACTTTTAGAAGTCATGGAGACTCAGAACTATACATTTCCAGCTCTACTAAATGCCAATAACCATGCCTCCCAGGGCTGCCATAAGAATTTATTTGAGGCCTATGACAGAAATGTGTAACCTACATAAACATCCAAAAATATAAGTAGTGTTTTATAGTGATTAACATCCATTAAGGCTTTCAATTCTGTAGCCCAAATCTGAGTTCAATGTCCAGCTCATAGTTATTGTCTATGGTGCTGATTTGATAAATTATGTGCTAAATTTTGTCATGTGTTTTATCAATTGCATTAACACTTAACTTATGCATTTATTTTTGCATTGTATTGTATTTTTGTATTGTCTACTAAACCATGGTAGTCTATGCTTTTATTTTTTGTACAACATAAATTTTATCGTAGCCCTATGCAAATAAGAATTCAATAAATATTAATATAATCTACATTTATTTGGTAACTAATATGTATTTGCTGCACCAAAAATATACTAAATAATGAAATCAAGTAAAAAGAATGAAAAGTAGTACATGTTCAAAATTGCAGAAATGAAAGCCCAACGTGGACAATTAAATTATATTTGGAATAAAATCATTTGGCCTAATTTTCATAACCACGGATTTCAAAGAATACCACCACCCATGCCAGGTGTACCAGACAACCCCATTGTCAGTTTCAGCCGTGTAGGGGCCCCTGTGGTAGACACCATTTAGGTTTGCAGAGTGACACCTAGTGGAAGAAAAAAAGAAAATAGAACAATCAGACTAGAAAAAGAAGCTTCAGAAACAGCTCATTAACAAATGATCAAAACTTTTTAACTGTGACTATCAATTCATGGACAATTGACTGTTGTTTAATTTTCAAAAGCTGAGACATTTCTACAAACAAATTAGCTTTTCTTGGTTGTTAAACATTACTAGTAGCACATGTTTGCAGTACTCTTATGTGGAGCTAGTACGTGCACATAACGGATTTTAATTCCTTCTTTCACTTCTTTTCTCTCTCCTTCCCACATTTCTTCATCCCTTCCTATCTAAGAACAATTTTTATTCCAATTTCTTATTACCTATCTTTTGTTTTGCTCTTTATTTATATTTTGTCATTCTCATATTAAAGAAACCAGGTGTTACTTCAGCTTGTGTGTCTGATTTATCTCACTTACCAGTATCATCTCAAGGTGAGTTGGCTTTTTAAAATGTCAGGTCTCAGGTGTGGTGCACACACTTGTAATTCTAGCACTTGGGAAGAGCACTTTGAGTTTGAGGCCAGCCTCGACTGCATAGTGAGTTCAAGGCCTGACTTAGTTACATAGCAAGGCCCTGTCTCAAAAATAAAAATGAAAGTAAAATAAACTGATGGGTTTTATTGCCATAATTAATAAATGTGAGGACCCAACCCAGGCCACTTGAAGAACTAGCATTTAGATTCTTATTAGCCTTTAAGCCAAAAAGAAACGTAAGGCCAGGGAAGACCCTGCAACCTCTAGCCTCACATCAACTCATCAGAGTGGTGTTCACCTCATGCTTAGCAAGAGTGACCCGGGTTTGCAAAGCAGGGTGAGGGGCAAGGGCTCCACTGAGGCTTCTCTGGCCAATTTTCACTCGCAGGTTCATTAATAGGCTGCCAAGAAACAGCTTTCATTATTCCCTTCTCCTCTTTAAATCACTAGTATATCAATTATTTTCATTTCCATAGTAAGCAAACAAAATGCAAACCAACATTTAAAAATTTCCCAGCCACTAACCAATAATCATTTGAGTTGATGAGTTAATCTCCTACATATATTGCACTTAGTAAAGAAGTTCATTAGGTTATCATACAATTTTTAAATAATGCTCTTCCCCCTTTGGAGTCTGTATACTTGTCCCTGGTATGTATAAACTACATATAAAAGTATGTGATAATTTTCTTTAATGCATTATTATGATATTAACTACATGTATTTCTTTATTGATATAACCAATGAAAATAGTTCCATCATTAGGATATAAAAAGAATATTCACAAGGTGTAGATATGAAAATATATGCGAAGAATCCAATATATTGAATAAAAACATATAATTTACCCATGAACAGAGTGGCTGGCTTGGATCCTTTAGTACTTTAATTTGCTTTTATTGATTATCCTAGAAATCCTCCTAATTTAAATAGGTGTGACTAATTTTATTTTGTCACACCTTTGAACAGAATTATCTTGTAAATAATTCTGTTCAAAATCAAACTTTTTCATGTGTGGGGTTGAAGATTGAATCCAGGGTGCTCTACCACTGAACTATATCCTCAGGTTTTTTTGTTTGTTCATTTTCATTCTGAAACAAGGTGTCACATTTGCCATCCTCCTGCCTCGGTCCCTTGAGTGGCTGGGATTAGTGTATGCCAATGGGGCTCGCAAAATCAAACATTATTCTTTTTTGTTTATTTGTTTTTTTTTTTATTTCTGAGACACCATGCCTGGCTAAAATCAAACATTACTGATGCTTGCAGATGACTTTGTGAATTATATCTAAATTTTCAATAACATTAACTTAGAGGAACAAGGAAAGTGGAAGAGAAAGAGAAGGCACAGACATTTTTTAAAAGAAGAAAAAAAATCACTAGGGAAGAGATTGTCACCTTCCACTTGCAAAGTAGGAAAAATAACTTTGTTTTTCGGTCCCTTCACGTTCCTGTAAGTATCCTGGTTCCATTACAGATGACCAAACATGAAATGGACTAGAACTTTTAAACAACAAAATCTAGGGGGGAAAAAACTACTATTCTTATAGCTAGTTATATTTTCCATAGCAAATGTTTTGTTCTGAAGCATCTCTTGCATTCTCATAAGAAAAGACTTTGAAAGTTCACACGTTGCTGAACAGTTGGAACACATCTGCTTTGCAGAGAGAGCAAACCCATTGGGTCGTTTCTAGGGAAGATTTTCTACAGCAAGTTTCCATTCTGTCTTAAATTTGTGATCATGACAAATGAAGCTGTCTGGAAACCATCTCAGATAGAGAATAGTTAAAGGAGTCAGGGATGTTTGGCCCACAGAAGAGAAAATACTAAGGAATGCAATAAATCACTTTTCATTCAGCACCTAAAGAATTATGTTGGAAAGGATTACAATTTCTCTCTAGCTACAGAGGGAAAACCTGACAAGGTATAAAAAGGCACATTCCAGTTCCATAAAAGGAAGAGCTTTGTGCAATTAAAACTGGAATGATCTTGTTGATAAAGTAATACTAAGTATCCAACTAGGGGGTGGGACTGGCTTTCTGGACTATCATAGAAAAAATTTCTGCTTCAGGGAATCTTGGATTCAATAAATAATGAAAGACACAGTAATTGAAAAGTAGTACTGTACCATACTACATAGGAAAATACAGCAATAACAATGAAATACAATATAATACAAATGAAATAAAATACAATAACAATGGCAATTTTGTATTATATGAGAAAGCAAAGCACTAATTGGTTATTGCAAAAAGTTTTTGCAAAAATACTAATTTGATTTATTTCTATGACATATCTTTCAAATGTCACTAATATGCACAATGAAAAACACTCAATGGCTAAAGAGTTCTAATAAGGGATAAGTACTTAATAATGCTAATATTTCAAAGAAGACCAACATGACCTCATACGCTATACCTAACGCCCACCAGTGAGATAGCATCAATACCATAACTACGATGTTTACAAAGCATCTAACCTGTTAAACCACCAGCCAGACTGATCTTCCTCTGCGCAGTTCCCTTTGTAGTTGTCGTTATCCCTGTCCCATGTGCTAAACTTCATCCTTTGATGACTGGCCCACCACTGCATCTCTGGATTAAAATTCCCTAAAAGACAGTCTCCAGCTGTTCCAGAATATTCTCCAATACTCAGCACATAGGAATTCTAAAGGAAAAGGGGCAAGTTTCACTATTAGTAGATTCCATTTTTAAAACATGCTTATTTAGTAAATAATAGACTCTCTTGTATATTTGTATCTCTAATGACTTCAGTGTTAATTTAAATATTAATTCATGGTATTATGTATTTGAAAATGTTTGTACCTTTTCATCTCCAACGTTGAAATTTTTATATTGTGCATAACGGCTATTCTTTTCAAAATCTTCAAGGTCGATTTTTAAAGTGTAGTCTCCTAAAATAACAAGATTATAGTTTTTAAAAATGCATGATATGAGATTTAACTGTAATTTATAGCTGTATTTTACTTTTATCACTTCCTTCTGTCAAGAATCCGTCTTGAGTCGTGGACCAATAGAGACCCAAGAGGCCAGCCCTTTTCTTTCTGTGAGCCAGCAGCAGACATGAGACAGGAGGAGAACCAAGGAGCTAACCCACGCCTTCCCTTGAACCAGTGGAAGCCATGTGGGCCAAGAGGAGAATACAGATGCTAATCCACACCTTCCTGTGAGCCAGAGCCAGCCTCTGGGAGACAAAAAGAACTCCCTGCATCCTCCGACCCTGCCCACTGATTTGGAGGAACACAAGCTGAGACAATAACAATTGAAGTAAACAAACAAAACTGTTTGTATTGTTTGACTGACTTTACAGGCCTAAAGCCAGTAGTCTGAGCATCTATTTAGAGGATAACAATATGCAATATAGCAACTATGGGGAATTTTCTTCAGTCTTGTTTTTGAGATCCAATGCTGTGTGTTTCATTCTATTAGCTTAAAAAAATCAATCTTTGTGTTTTGTTGTGGGATTTTGATTGTTTGTTCTTTTGTTTTTGTTTCTTGAGACAGGGTCTCACTATTGAGCCCAGGCTGGCTTTGAACTCCCAGCAGTACCTTTGTCTTAGCCTCCCAAGTGCTGAGATTACAGTTGTGCACCATCATGCTAGAAAAAGGATCATTCTTTGAAGAATAAATAGTGGCATCCCTGTATTTAAAATATGACTCCTTTATTGTTTATTTTACTTGAAAACTGTGAAAGACACAACAGGAAAGGCAGAAAATTTCTGCTAAGTCTATTATAGATTGAAAACTAGTATAATTCAGTTGGTAATGAACAACAGAAAATGTCACTGTATAGTTTTAAAAGTATAAAGTCTCATAATGAAAAGACAGAAGTTTTCAAAGTGTAACAGCTTATCTGTTTTCTTAACTTTGTAAGAATCTTGATCCTAAAAATAAGTAATTACTATTAGTAAAATATTATAATCTCTATTAGCCAGGCTACTTATAGCCATTTTTGCCTACATATGTATGAACTTGTTTATTTCTACTGGTAATATAAATGATTAGCCATCAAACCCTTTGAGAACCATTTGGGGAAGAACTATAAATCCTGGGTGTTACATGAAAACTTTCTTTGATATCAGTTCATTCAATAGAATGTGAACATCAAAGTCTGTGGAGTGGATGCCACTGGAAGGAAATATTGGAGACAGTAGAAAAACATTCTCAGGAATTCTGGGTTCCCAACATTCTTGATGCAAAATGGTCATAATTATTGGAAAATACACTAATATCAAGGACTTAGAGTCAAAAGTACTTTTGAATAGTTGATGTCTGACTGTTAAAGCATTTTAAAAATAAACAATTTAGCATATATTATTTATATATGATAAAAATCTTGAAATATAAAATAAGAGAGATACTTTGATGAATATAAAATTTTAGATGATAAAGAGACACTATCTGAAAAAAAGTGATTGAAATAGTTGCTATTTCAAGGAATCGTGTTTCCTATTGCGCCACTGTGAATAGCAAAGACTATTCTTTCTTCAACAGCAGAACTATTGTCAAGAGCCGAGAAAGTCAGAAATCAAACCAACTATTCATCAGTGAGTGTTCCATTCTATTGTGATAACTAAAACAATGACTTGAAGGTCATGTTGTTTAAAGTCTCAGACTCTAAACATAGTTCTCAGCCAGAATAGGAGACTCCAAAGATAAAGGCTTCCTTTCTTCCTGTCATGGTTTCCACTGTGTGCAGCAAGGGATGTTGGACATGTCCGTAACATTGCGTCTGCCTCTTTTTCTTTTCTTTTTTTTTTTTTTTTTTTTTTTTTTGTGCTGGGAATTGAATTTAGTACCTTGCGCTTGCCAGGCAAGGGCTCATGCCACCGAGCTGTATTTGTAGGCTACTGCTAGCTCTTTCCATACTCATGATAAAAATGTATCTTAGCCTCTCCGCCAGCTTGGCTCAGGAATTTTCACACAGTAGCTTGGGAGGATAGATCAACAGGGGCCTGAATGTGTCCCAAAAACAAGTGTGAAGCTTTTGGAGCGAGGGATTCTGGGTTTCTATGTGGAGCAAGTTTAAGAAGGTGTGTTGGTGGAGAATCTCTTTACTCTCTAATGGCAGTAAAGGTCAGGTGAGCCAAGACTGAGAAGCATTTGGGACCAGTGCAGAAGACTAAGCCATCCCCCAAAATACGTTGTGTTACAAGAGACACGTAAAGTCAGTATCAGAACATTTCTAAATTAATTTTACTGCAAGCAGTCAAAATTTATTTATTGTGGATAAAACTATTCTCAGAGGCAATTTTTGTGGCAGGAACAAAAGCATTGTCTTTTGTTCAGCATGACATAAGAGTAACCTGCCTGAAGATCAAATTAAACCAGGAGAGGAAGGCCTGGATGTAGCCCAGTGACAGAGCACGCTACCCCTCCCCTCACACCAAACATACATGCGAGGAAGCAGGCTTGTTGGCAAAGGCTTTCTAGGGAACACTGTACATGGAAATAATTTGTAAAATAAGCTTGAATTTCATATAATGTATGAGGCTCCAAGTTGGAGTTTTCATCATTGATTTTTTGTTTGAGCATCAGATAAATTTAGTGTGCAAAAAAACCAGAAAGTGGTATGGTAAACATTATGTATCTGATAAAAAAGAAAAAATCACTTACATTAAGATAAGAAATATGTTGACAGAAAAGAAATATTTGTATAAAGTATGACAGCAATGAGCAAGAAAAACAAAGAAAAGTATTAGGATTCCAGAAATATTCACCCTCTGAAATCAGTTTTCTCATGTCTTAAAGATCTTTATGATTATAACCATACTAATATAGAAAGATCAATAGCATTCCTGAGCTTGGATGGAACAAAGATATGCTTGCTCTTATATTTAATACATTGCCAACCAGATTTAACATGTTTTCTTGGACAATACAATTACCTTTTATGAAACATTCACTATCAAACCTCAGTGGGGTTGAGTATAATCTCAGACTACAACTAAGGTAAAAAAGGCTATTGATAGCAACAAAACAGGAAATAGGAGATTTGTTAGCAATATTTTATATAAATATCAAACTCTAGTTAGAAATATACATGTGAAAAGTATGTTAATGAATTATGCAAATACCAAAACAAAACCCACTATTCAGTAGAAGTAATATGTACCAATGTAAAAAAAAAAATGCCATTGTCACATTAAGACATTTCTTTCTTTTTTGAGAAGGGGTCTCGCTATGCAGTTCTGGCTGGCCTTGAGCTCACTTTGTAGCCCAGGCTGGTCTTGAACTCACAACGATCCTCCCACCTCAGCCTCCCAAGTGCTGGGATTACAGGCGTGAGCCACCACGCCTGGCTAGTACATTTCTTTTAATAATATAAAGCCTACTTTTACGAGTCCATAATAAATAAATTGCTATTTTTAAAAAAATGTACATGTGAATGCATAAGGGGAGAACTATACAGAAGTCTGCATTTTACTTTGAAACATATATTTCTTTTTATTGTGTATATTTCTACATTAAAATCAGACTTATGGATGAATAGAAGGATAAATAGATGAATATATATGATAAAACAAGCATAATAAAATGTTAACATAGAAACTAGGTCATAAGTTGAGACTTCTTTCAGCTTTGCTATGTCTTCAAAGAATTGTCAAAATTAAAACTGGGACACGGTGCAGAAAAAAGGCCACTTAGTGTATTATGATATTTGATTGCAAAAACAGCTCCAACTCCCTAATTTTTCACTTCCTCCTTTTGCCATAACCACTTCCTAACTCCTATTTTCTACTTCTTTTTCCCTTTTATTGGTGTTTGTTTTTTGACTTGTTTTCATTGACTGAAGGAAAATGACAGCTGTCCAGTTCAGAGCCCAAATTTCAAGAGATGTGTGTGCTTCCACTGTCTTTCCTGGAACCATGACTCTGCTATAATGTTCAGGCTAGCTGGCTGGAGATGAGATGCCTGAGTGTTTTGATCCTGGAGCTACCAGCTACCCACTGACCTGGGCATTGGTTGCAGATCTGACTGCAAGTCTAGCCAAGATCAGCAGAGTTCAGTCCTGATCAGCCAAACCACCAGCTAACCTGTAGATTTATGAGAAATAATGAATGGTGGTGTTGAAGACATGAAGTTTGGAAGTGGCTTGTTTACTCAGCACCATTGTGCCAATAGAGAACTGATGTAGTATACAATTTTCAGGCACTGAAGGCATTAAAATGCTCATGACATTACATTTGCTTTCTAGAAACAGAAACTATACATGATAAAACAATCCCTTCTCAACTCTGTTATAGTTTCTTTTCCTCTCTTCCTAATGTTAAGTAGCTACATTTTGCAAAAGGAGACTATTGTCCAACACCTATCATTACTATCTGCGAACTGAAGTTACTGAATTAACTCCATTGCCTGTGACTTGACTTAGCGTAAACATTTTAGCATTGCCTCTATTGTATTTCAAACTGACATAAAGCAAAATTTACCTTGTTTAGTCAGTAGGTGAAGATTTTTATTACCCAGCCAATATTCACCGTTTTTTTGAACAAAATTTCCAAAGCCATTTTCATAGTCATTCCAGCCTCTAAAAATGTAAAATAAAAGCTAATTTTTAATCAAAATCCAAATGGACATCTGCATTACCCACAGTATCCTCTGAAATCCTCCACCACTACTATTTTCTTGATTAGTTAATCCATTGTTAGTACTCTTACTTAGAGAAAATGAAATTCTGTCTAATTAACAAACGTCAGGTATGATTTTTTTAAAAGCTTAACATAAATATCACAAATTTCACACTTGCTGCTCCAGATAAATTCTTGTAATTAACGCACCTGTTAAAGTTTTCACTGCCATCAGTTCGTCTTTGAATTACAGTCCATCCTCCGCCATCAGACATGTCACAATAAACAGAGAATTCCACTGGGCTCTGAAGAGGTTTGATTTTGTAAAACCCGCTGCGCTTATATCCATTGTTGAAAATCTCTGAACAATCTGTTCACAGATCAAGGTACTGTCACATTTGTCATGCATCTTTTTTTAAAAAAGGTTTGAGACTACTCAATACCAATGGAGACAGATAAACACATAGCGTATTCAACTTTCTAAAATCTTTATGTTATACATCGTCCATTAAATAAAGTCATTTTATTTTTGTCCCTGGAATTTAATATCACATGATTCCTTGATATCACCATAGGAAAAAAAGGAACAAAATAGGAATCATTTTCTTATTAATGATTTTGTTGAAAACAATTTAAAAATAAATGATAGGTATTTGATTAATTACTGCATAAGGGGAATTCATGGCTTCATTAATCAACATAGAAAAACTTACCTCACTATAAAGCTAAAAATGAAAGTAGAAATATCAATAATTTAATCAATAATTATTAATAATTTAAAATTGGATATCTTGCTTTAAAGAGCTATAATTCCTCTTAACATCTGGAAATAAACACCAAATCTTAGTCATGTTAGTTCTTATAACCTCTCTCAGTCTCACCAGATTTTTTTTTTTTTTTAACCAATACACCAAAATTTCTTTTCTTTTGACACTGGGTCTCTCTGTGTAGTTCAGGCTACCTTTACATTCTCTGTGGAGTCCAGGGTAGACTTGAGTTCGGAGCAATCCTCCTACCTCAGCCCCTCACGTACTGGGATTATAGGCCTGTGCCTGCATGCCCGGCCTCATCAAAATTACTTATTTTTATATATGTAATTTATCTTTTCTTGCTGAAATGTCTAGCTGTCTACACATTAAGTGTTCTAGCTAAAGCTGCAAGCTTCTCTTTTTAGCCTTGTATTAGTCTCTGTCATGGGATTCCAATGATGTAAGACAGCAGTTTTTCAGCAAAATGTAATATTTATTTTTTAAGCCACTTGAGAATGAACAACTTAATATTCATTGGATCTCACACAGACTGATATGTACAGAGTTAGAGAATATACTTATTAATTATTTAGACACTTGGAAAACTGTAGGATGACTGAAGTAGTGGTCACTACAAAAAAGATAGTCTCAAAAAATAATTAGTCAGGGGCTGGGATTTAGCTCAGCGGCATAAGGGCCTGCCTTGCAAGCGGCAGTCGTGAGTTCAATCCCCGGTGCCAATAAAAAGGAAAAAGACAAAAAAAAAAAAAAAATTAGTCATGGATTTCTGAGTAAAAATATTTCTTTTTTTGTAATGTTTTCATTGAAATTGCTTTTTTATTTTTTTGGTACTGGGAATCAAACTCCAGACATTGTGCTTGCCACTGAGATATATGCCCAGACCTAAAAATATTTCTACAAGTCTTTCACATTTTACTCTAACCACTTTATTAATTTTCTTTTTGAAAAATATTTTCTACAGTTGCAAGATAATGCAAAGAAAAACAATATAAGATTGACAGAGTAAATGAAAAGGTAACAACACAAATGGTATCAAAAGACTATTTACAGAATAGCACAAAATTTCCCAAACATGGGAAGGGAATAGATAAATGAAGTACTCCAATTAGCCATAACCAAAATAAATTACACCCAGACATATAATAATCAACAACCCAGAAAGTCAACATAAGAACAGAATATTAAAAGCTCTTAGAAGAGACAGATCACCTATAAAGGAAAGCCCATTAGAATCATAGCAGACTTTTCAACCCAAACAATGAAATCAAGAAGAGCATGGAGTGAAGTATTTCAAATACTAAAAGGTAATGATTTCCAACCCAGATGGATGTACCCTGTAAAAATGTCCTTCAAAATTGATGGAGAAATAAGATACTTCCATGACAAAGAACAGCTGAAGAACTTCACGACCACCAAACTAACACTGCAAAGAGTACTGAAAGATATTCTACATAATAATGACTAAACTTAAAAATAACTATAAAATAAACATAAAAATAACTATAACTTCAAGAATACCAGCAGAAAAAAATCACTAAGCAAAGGAAACAGTTAAACAGAAGGGAAAAGTAAAGAACCAACAGCAGAAAGATAACATGACAAAAATAAGCCAATATGTATCAGTTATAACTATTAATGTAAATGGTCTCAATGCACCAATTAAAAGAAACAGACTGGTAGAACAGATCAACAAACAACATCAAACCATATGCTGTCTACAAGAAACCCATCTAACCCAAAAAGGAACTCATAGACTGAAAGTCAAAGGATGGAAAACAATACTTCACGCACCAAGAACCCCCCACAAAAAGGAGTAGCTGTTCTGTTTGCAGACAATGTGAACTTCAAACCAAGAATGATCAGAAGAGATAAGGAAGGTCACTACATACTAGTTAGGGGAAAACTTCAAGAGGAAGAGATAACAATCTTAAATATATATACACCAAATACTGGAGCAACCAGCTATAAAAAAACAAATATTCACAGAAATGAAAACTCAAATAAGCAATAACACAGTTATAACAGGAGGCCTTAACACCTCACTAACGCAAAGAGACAGATCAACTAGTCAGAAAATCAGCAAAGAAATAACAGAACTGAATCAAATTTGTGAACAAATGGACTTAGTAGATGTGTACAGAGTGTTCCACCCAACATCAGAATATACATTCTTCTCAGCTGCATATGTTCTCTAAAACAGACTACATACTAGCCCATAGAATATGCTTAAGTAAATGCAGAAGAATCAAAATTATCCCATGCATATTATCTGATCACAGTGCCATGAAACTAGAAATTAATGACAAAAGAAACTGCAAAAACTTCATAAACAAATTAAATAATATACTTCCTGAACAATCAATAGGTCACAGAGGAAATTAAAGAAGAAATTAAACAAATTAAACAAGCAGATGATAATACAAATACAACCTGTGGGCTGCAATGAAAGCGGCCCTCTGAGAGAAATCTATTGTGGTAAACTCCCAATCAGGAAAAAAGAATGAACACAAATAAATAACCTGCTGCTACACTTGAAACATCTAGAAAAAGAGGAGCAAGTCAAGCCCAAAGCCAAAAGAAGGAGGAAATTACAAAAATCAGAGCAGAAATTAATGCAACAGAGACTAAGAAAACAATACAAAGAATTAACAAATCAAAAAGTTAGTTCTTTGAAAGAATAAACAAGATTGATAAGCCCCTGGGCAACCTCATTTTAAAAAGGAAAGAAAAAACTCAAATTCGTGCAATAAGGAATGAAAAGGACAAAATCACTACAGACCCTATTGAAATACAAAAGATCATCAATACCTACTTTGAAAACCTTACTCTCATAGGTCCAGTAACACAGAAGAAATGGACAGATTCTTAGAAACACATGAATTACCAAACCTGGATCAAGAAGCTGTAAAACTATTGGATAAACCAACTTCAATTAATGAAGTTGAAAATGTAATTAAAACCTTACCAGCAAAGAAAAGATCAGGTCCTAATGGATTCATTGCAGAATTTTACAAGAAATTCAAGAAAGACTTAATGCTAACACTCCTCAAACTCTTCAATGAATTGAAAGGGAAGGAATTCTCCCTAACTCATTCCTGGCAGCAAGTGTTACTCTAATACCAAAACCACAGAAAGACCCAACCAAAAAAGAGAACTATAAGCCAATCTTCCTAACGAACATAGAGACAAAAATTCTCAATAAAATACTGACAAACAGAATGTAGCAAATCCTCAAGAAGATCATACCGCACGACCAAGTGGGATTCATTCCAGGAATGCAAGGGTGGTTCAGGATATGCAAATCAATAAATGTAATTCATCAGCTCAATAGAGCCAAAGATAAGAATCACATGATCATTTCAATAGATGCAAAAAAGCTTTTGAGAATGTTGAGCACTCATTCATGATAACAACCCACAGAAAAATCGGAATAGATGGTCTTTTCCTCAATCTGGTAAAAGCCATCTATGATAAACGAACAGCCAGCATCATATTAAATGATCAGAAACTGAAAGCTTTTACTCTAAAATCAGGAACAAGCCAAGGATGTCCATTATCACTACTCCTATTCAATATAATGCTGGAAATATTAGCCAGAGCAATTAGACAAGAGAGCAAAATAAAGCAAATAAGGATAGGAAAAAAAGAAGTTAAATTATCATTATTTGCAGATGACATCATAATCTACAAAGGCCACTAAAAGTCCATTGAAAGACTACTAGGAATAATAACCAAATTCAGTAATGTAGCTGAATACAAAATCAACACTCAAAAATCAATAGCTTTCCTATACACTAACAACAAAATCAGTGAGGGAGAAATAAGAGAAGCTACAACCTTCACACTAGCATCCCCCCAAAAATGAAATACTTAGAAATTAATATCATGAAAGAAGTAAAAGGTCTACACAGGGAAAATTATAATACCCTGAAAAAAGAAGTTAAAGAGGATCTCAGAAAATGGTGAGACATCCCTTATTCATGCATAGAAAGAAGAAATATTGTAAAAATGGCTATTCTCCCAAAATTGTTATACAGATTCAATGCAATTTCAATCAAAATACCATTAACATACCTCACAGATCTAAAGAAGTCATTCCCAAAATTCATCTGGAACCAGAAGAGACACAGAGTAACAAAGGCAATTCTGGGTAACAAAGGCAAGACAGGAGGTATCACAATCCCTGTCTTTAAGTTATACTACAAAGCTACTGTTAAAAATCAGCATGGTACTAGAACAAAAACAGACCTGAAGATCAGTGGAATAGATTAGAAGATACAACCACAGCTACAAACACACTCAGCCACCTTATCTTTGATAAAAGGGCCTAACACATCCACTGGAAGAAAGATAGTCTCTTTAACAAGTGGTGCTAGAAAAACTGGCTTTCCATATGCTGAAAACTAAAACTAGACCCATGCTTATCACCATGCACTACACTAAACTCAAAATGGGTCAAAGATCTAAATATTAAAACAGAAACACTGAATCTGTTGGAAGACAAAGTAGATAGAAATCTTGAAGACATAAGGGTTGGCAGATAATTCATGAACAAAAATCAAACTGCACAAGCAATACTTCCCAGAATCAATACCTGGGA